AAAAACTAATTTGAAATACTCAACTGTTTTGTAAATTTCATTTTGTTTTAATTGTTCTTCTAAATGAATTGAATCTCCAGGAATAAATTTTGGCGGTTGATCAAATATCCAAATTGTTTCTGTTTCAGCAATAATTATATCGATTAATTTGTTTAAATCAATTTCAGTTAAAATTTCTTGAGTTGGTTGTATAAGTGTTTTAACTTCTAATAAAATATTAATAAAAGATAAATGTTTTGAATAAAAACAATAATTGAAGAATTTCTTAGATGTTTCACTATCAACTATAGTTGCCATGCCAACTCCATTGCATAATCCACTTGGCTACTGGGTTCGAGTCCTGTAGTGAAAATCCAGCTGATGAGTCCCAAATAGGATGGAACAAGCGTCACACTGGATTCCACTACTTGCCACTATCAATCTTTGCTTATAAAGCTTGTGACTTAAGAGAATATTGAGGCAATATGCACAAGATCCATGTATGCCAATAATAACAATCTGATCAATTGTAACCCTAAACAACAATACCAAGTGAATTTAAAACTTCACCGCATTGTACAAGCTATTGACTATCAGGACTCAGTAGCTAAGTGGATAACGCGATGATATTTGAAGCGAATGGTATTGAGTTTGAGTCCTTCATGGAGAGAACACCAACCGTGGGATGCAGGAGAATCCAGCTAACCAGTCCCAAATAGGATGAAACGCGTGTCAAACTGGATTCCACTAATAGCCACCATCCATCTTCGCTTACAAATCATGGTTTATGTGCAAAGGTTATTTTAAGCATTTAACTTTATCATTAATGAAATAAGCAGAATGGCATTGTATCTTGTAAATGCTTAGTATCTTAATCAATTAACTACATCTGAGTTCTATCGACTATAGAAATAGATGCAGTTTGAATGATAAAAAAATAATCAAAAATTAAAACTCTGATCTCAGGCTTTTTCAAAAGTATTCGTATTTGAGATCGTGAACCGATTGATGTGAAACCACCATTGAAAACCTGGAAGTATTGGACGACCGTTTCGTCCTAGTAAGTGCTCCCAAGTTTTCAATGATGATCTAACATCAATCGGTTCATGATCTTAATCAATCTTCACAACCCTATACTGACAAAGTATTTTATATCTAATATATGAAACTTAGAAAGAATTTGCATCGGTCATATGGATTACGTTTTGTCTCAAATATACATTAATTATTTACTGAATTTATATGAAATATGGCACAAAAGTGGAAAAAAATAGTATGGGAATTTGTGAAGATTATATTTATTTATTTGAACACATACATATTGGTACAAAGGGGCACCGAATATATATGCGCCACACAAGTCACTTGATTTCTGTGTGGACTGTCATACTGTCCGGGTGCCGAAATCGAAGCAGGTGGTTTTCTTAGGAGGCCATACCTCGAGCCTTTCACCTAAATGTCTAATACACAACACAGTAGAACAACGTAAGGAGATACAGTCTCATCGTAGCCAGTGACTAACGATAGGTTTATACGCAATTTGTTCCTTCAAGATCCTGGAGTCCATATGCATCATTGGTTTGGAATCAAGGTTTTTCAACTCCCCCCCCATAGATGTGCACTGCTGAGAAGTCTCATACTTGGACAAAACAGTCATCCAGTACTTTCAAGTTTTCCATAGCGATCTAGCTTCAATTGACTCATGAATTCAACTATTAAATCATTATTTTCTAAATATTAGTTATACGTAAATTTTATTTATTAAAAACAAATAATTACCCGTAAATGTTTGATAACGATCATGTTCTTCACTAGTCTCTGAATGAGATTCACCAGTTGGACTTGATCCACTTATATAAGATCGTGTAAATGTAAATGGGTTTGTAATATGTAAACTACTTCCACCAAGATTTGAAGATTGAGAGATATCAGCACTCTTAAATTGAAGATGATTATAAGTATAAACGTTTATAAACTAACCATAGTATCTTTATCATCACGAATACGTTTCTCTTCACTTAATAATGGCAATGGTGTTAAATCTATACCAGATTCATCAATTAAACGAATGGTTGCTCTTGATAAACGTTTTTCTGAATCAGATTTTTTAGAGAATGAACTTGAAACACGTCTACGTATCATTAATGTATTTTTATGAAGTTTTTGACTTTTTTTATATACTCCTGACATGTTCAAGATTATTCTGTGGAAGAAGAAGGTAATTGGGATTGATGAAAGATAAGAAGATTATGAAATTAAATTAGAAAGTTATAGTCAAGATGTAATAAGAAAATTATTGTGGATTAGTATTTATACCAATCTATCTTGGGTTGGTCAGTTGTAAAGTTGGTTAAGCGCCTGGCGCGAGACCGATAGGTCCTGGGTTGGAATCTTGCGGGGTGCAGGGTCATGGATGCGCACTGCTGAGGAATTCTATACTAAGAAGAAATGGCCATCCAGTGCTTCCAGGTTTTCCATAGTGGTCTAGCTTCAATTGACTTATGATTTCAATCAAAAACTCAGCAAACTCTACAACACCTAAACTGATAAATCTTTATTATTAACTCTGTGATAGTATCACTTTGTTGGGATGATTTTGGCTACTTGATCTATTGTAAATTATGAAATGGTTTTGCCATCTCTCTTTTGTAGATAATCAAGATTAGTTTAGAACAGTGATTCTCATACAGTTCTGTCCTTAAGAATGAATTCATTTCGTCAAAAAACATAGCACTCTCCCCAAGTGATTTATTTTTCAACATAGAATGTGTAAAAACACTGTTACTCACAGCATGAAGTTGTAGAGAAGTCTTGCATATGATGAATTTCGGAGATCAACATAACAACGTAACACAAAGATGTTTGACAACTATCTCTGACGAAAAATATGTAAAGCATACAGACTAGCTGTAAGCAGTCTGTTACTATTCATGAAGTAAAAGAATATATTTCAACACAGTTCCCCATTCGCTTATTCTCACTATGCTATCAAATTTGTTTCAAGATAATGTGAGAATCAGCTACAATTCAAAGTCATACATGTAAATATGAAGTGAGTGACTGTAATTACTATCATAATAGGCTTTCAGCCAAGAAAGAAGCAAGTCATTAAAATGTATCCACCATATCTCATTGATCTGATGTCTAAAGCTTTGGTACACTTGAAGAATCGAACATAAGTGAAAACTTTATAATTTCAGCAGTATATAAATTTATCCCAAACTGACAAAATATTCAAGACAAGTTAACTTTCTCTGAGCGAGAGATATTGAACCATGTGAAAGATATTAATCCCGATTATATACTCTACCATACAATTGTCAACCAAACTTTCTATTGCCTTTTACAATATGAAAACTTTAGCAACGGACCTACTTCAGTATAGACGATGACAAATGAACTATGAAATAGAAATCTCTTTTTTAATTCCATGTATTATACTTTGACTGACCTTATTAAGAGACTGTAACAATAAAATTCAAATACAAATTAAGTAAGAAGAATTTCATTTCAGACATCCATGTTCAAAAGGACAGACAAGGACAAAGGACAGACTAACAAACCAATTTAGTATGGTCTTTGATTATTGTTAACCAAAAACAACTCAGTTAGTCAAGGGTTAATTATGTTTATATTGGATAAAAGATGTATTTAAAGCATACACATAGATAGGCAACAAAGCAACAACCTGTTTGATTGGTAATGACTTTAGCTATGTATTATCCCTGTGCTTGGAAATCGAGGGGAAAAATGACTTTCTCCCACTCTGTTAGAAAATTTTGTGTTCTATAATGGGCTATGAGTTGAGAAGTAGAGGAACTCTATACAACTATCCAGTCAGTCAGTCATTCAGTCTAACGCAACTTAGAACCTGCACAATATCTCAAAGGATATAGGCGTATGGTTTTGTAGCACCCCCATAGATCTTCACGTTGAAGTTACGTTGGATATTTTAGTACTAAACCAGATGTTGCATAAACTGTATATGTTTTGAGATTTGTTCTCAGTTGATCAGTTATTTGCTTTCCAATTTTATCGGCTTTAGTAACTTGTCAAGGCTGTAGTTATATGCTTCTGATGGTTTTAGAAGGGAGTTAAGAAAAGATAATTTGAATTTTTCTGAAAGACATTTGTAGCCAATGATCAGTGACGCTACCAAATATGACGTTGTGGAATAAAACACACAATATTCGGCAACAGAAAGCAAACAGATAAGAGAAATAAAGCCCGACTTTAGGGAATTATTGAGAAAAATCTTTAAGAAAAGTCGATGTGAATATAGCCAACAATACACCAAGTTTTCGCCTTTTTCTCCTGTCAGGAGCAAACGATTCTGATTATCCTTTAAATTTCCCCACTGAGGGTAAACTTTTCAGATTTATCATCTTAACTCTTGCTTAATTTCAATTAACACAAAATATTCTACTTTGCTCACCTCTCGCAGCAATCGTCTTTAGCTTAAATGAAAGCCAATTAGTTGGGTTTTTTTACAAATTGCCTGCTTCTAGCCTAAATTAACACAGACTGTTTACACCTGATCGATACCTGGATAATGACTGATGTCATTTGTGCTAGGTTCTTTTAAGTGTAGATCAAATTCTGTTAATTACATTGCAATGTGACTCCCAGTCGAGGTGAATTGACATGGTGTGCACCATGTTGAGATGTATGGTGGATTCTAATACGCCAGGTAGCATCACTTCTCTGAAGATTACAGTTACGCCTCACTGACGAGTGCCAAGTAGGACGAAACTCGGGCCCAGGGTATCCTGTCAACTACCTCCAACCAATACCTAACGCTGGCTAGTCTATCTTCCTTCAAGCAACTCTAAAGTTTCCTATCAATTCCCAATAAGAACAAATTGTCAATACAATCAACATGATTTACAAGAATGATTGTGAAATAAATCAGCTATTCATATCATTCACACTTACAGTTATCAGAAATAGCAATACTCTAATAAAGGTCAAACTTTAACACTGCAACTGATATAATTAATTATCTTTTACTGTAATCAACTAATTTATCCAATATATAATGAAAATATGGATGTGTGAGTCATGCTATTTTCTTGTGAATGCACCGAAAGCTGTAAGATGTTTCAACTAGTTTGCACAAACAACAGTTGCCATCAACGTCCATTAGAGTTTTCATTGGCTGAATTGTGAATAGGAGCGTGGCTGAATATGGATATTAGACAATTTTAAACTCATAAGGGTTAATACAATAAAAGCCAGAAGTTCACAATATATTCTCCAGGGTCTATAAAATTGCCAACGGAGATAGCGCAATAAATAACCAATGTCTTATTGTGTGTGCCCTTTTTATCAATATTGACCCATGTGTGCAAAGGGCAAAAATCTGATTACGAAACACCATCAGCGTAAAATAGTCAGGGAGGAAGTCATGCGAAAATTCAGTCCTGTTGTTGAATAACAAGCCTACTTGACAAAAATATCAGTAACTATTTGAACAAGTATTGAATGGAGCATATATATAATTAGTCGAATACGTAAAAATGGTCTTTTGTTCCGTAATCCTAATCAGAGTGATTGTTAAAATTTTAGAAAGATTTTTCAGAAGGGGTTGTTCAAGTATCTAGGTGGAATCAAGGTTCTCTATAAAGAGAAGTACAGTTTGAAAACAGGTTATTAATAACTCGTGAGGGTTGAAACGCTTTTGATCCTCAAAAGCTACCTATAGATGTAGCTTACATTGAGTTCAGTGGGGCTTTCGACAAAGATTCTCGCAGTTGGATATTATCTAAGTCATCAAGATCGGAAGCAAATTAATTATGCGGATAAAGGATTTTCAAGCTGGTCATCAACAAAGAATATGGGTTGATTCCAGTTTGCCTAGCTGGGTAACTGTGATAAGCGAAGTACTTCAGAATTTGGTTTTTTGAGCCTGTACACAAATGAGCATTCTGACCTCCTACCATCATCGGTTTTGTTACATATTGACGATATCAAGATATAAAGAGTAAAGCGATAATTCTGAGCTTCAAACTGACCTATATAAAATATCTGAGTGGTCCAAAATTCGGCGGTTGCCCATAGACTCTTCCAAGTGCATTGTGATGCGTATTGGTAACTAAGATACAGATAAATTCACGGTGAATAACAATGAGCTACCCGTTGTTTATACAAACAAGAACTTACGAGTCATCGTTATTTGGGACTTGAAAACTACTACACGCTATAGTTCGACAGACACCAGAGGTTGTAGAACTCTATGATTAATGCGTAAAGCCTCTAACCATGTTGATACTAAAATCAGAGAACTACATCTTAGTTGATTTTTGAAACGCAAAGCTACTGAATGAAGGGAGAATGACTAAACTAAACCTGTTCCAATTATTGTTTAAAAGAACGAGGATTGCCTGAATAGCAGTTTTTAATTTACTTAGTGGTGAATCTGCATTCAACAATCCCTCATTTTTCGTGTCCTCTAAAATGATAACACTCCAAAAAATGTCAAGAGTCCAGAACAAAATACTTGTCAGCTGACTGATGACTCTTCCAATAAATCATCAACGAATGGAATTCATTATCTCAACACGTGGTTGAAACTCCATTTGTCAATGCATTCAAAAACGTCGGATCAAATGAAAGAATGCCACATTCAAAACTTGAAAAGTTAGCTCAGCCTACTGTTGACTAGAAATAGTTTGAATCTGAAAATGAAGGTGCACATATATTTGTGTGGGGAAGTCAGTAACAATGAGACGTTTTGATAACATGTTGTTGCAATGAAGATGTGTGGATAACCGTCACGAGTGACAGCAACGTGTGACAAAAGAAGACGAATGCAAAGTTTGGGTAGATACTTAAAGGGGTTAAACATAGGCAACAATGCAACAATTTGTCTTTTCCTATACTTCAAGATAAACAATGCGAATATTATTCCCATAAGTGTCTACACAAAGGAAAAATGTCTCATCACTAACAAATTAAAGTTTTTAACTTGCTAAATATTTAAAGAAATCGACATTTTATGGCTTGCTTTAAAAAAAGGACAAATTATTCCCCGAAATAGAAAGACTAGGTTTTGCTAATGTTAACATCTGAAATAGATTTCAGAACCCAATTCTAAAGCCACAATAAATAGGAACAGTGAATAAAATGGTGATAAATATGTGTGTTTCGTTATAGGTAATTAACAAGCTATTGTTAACAAAATTTATCTACTTATTAAATGTTATTTTTGATTCACGCTCTAACTTAGCATTAAGAAACTAATTAGACTTGCATGGTTCACAAACATTTATGGGGCTCACTTTTAAACTCTTCGTAAGCAAGAGACACTCAAACTTTGTAATTTTATTTAGTGATAACGTATTGGCGTCAAAATCTGCGCAGTTATTAATCACCAGAGTGTTGACCTTCAAATACCCAATATCTTTGTCACAGGCTTGTATAAACCAATGTCTTCAGTCTTCAGTCTTCGGTCTTCAGTAATAACGATAGTAGGTTGATGAACCTGTGTTAATCCTGAAACATTGCTTTCCAGTGAAGGTTCAGCTTTTCCTTGAAAGTATTCACTGATGGGGCTGATACCACTTGTTCGGGTAAGGCGTTCTAATCATTGACTACTCGATGAGAAAAACGGGATCCCACTTTAAGTTTATTAGATCGTGGTCTATGAACCTTCTTGCTATGACCTCGGAGATTAATAGTGCTGGAGGGAGCAAAAAGATAAGATATATTAACACCCAAATCATAATTAAAGATACGGAATGCCAGTATAAGGTCACCTCGTGTCCTACGATACGACAAGGGGAAAAGATTTAGGCGTTTTAAACGCTCATCGTAAGGGAGTCTAGAAAGACCTTTCACTAATTTCGTTCCCACACGCTGGACACGCTCAAGGGAGTCAGTATCCTTTACCAGACACGGGCTAGCTGCTTGGATACAGTACTCTAAATGTGGTCTAACATATATGGGATATAAAATTCTAAACATTTCCTCGTCAAAAGATTTGAACGCTCGGCGAAGTGACCATAACGCACGAAAACCTTTGACAGCGGCTGCTTTGCAATTCTTAGTTGTTTTTAAATCATGACTTAATATTACTCCTAAGTCTTTATGTTCTTCAACGCATGGAAGAGGTTTACCCTCAATAGTGTAACGGTAACTATTACCGTGACCGATGTGCATTAGTACACTCTTCCTAGCATTGATTTCTAAGCCCCACTCTCGAGCCCATCTAACTAAATCGTCTAAGTCAGCCTGAAGATCCACATGATCAGCCGCACTTTTTATTGTTTTCCAGATTTTTACATCATCCGCAAACAATAATGTCGACGACCTAAGTAACAGCGGTAAATCATTAACGTAGAGAAGGAAGAGCAGAGGGCCTAAGATGGTGCCTTGGGGTACACCACTTTTGACCGGCTTCCAATCGGATAGCGTTCCGTTGACTCTAACTCTCTGTCTGCGGTCACATAAGAAATTTCCTATCCACTCATGTACAGTACCTATTATTCCGAAGCTCGTGAGCTTCTGCATAAGACCTACGTGTGAAACCTTGTCAAACGCTTTGCTAAAATCTATGAATATCATGTCGACAGACAGACCGTTATCTAAGGCTGCTGTCCAATCCTCCCTCGCAATAAGCAAGTTAGTCAAGCATGAACGCTTGTTACGAAATCCGTGTTGCTCAGGGGCTAACAGATTGTGTAAATCTATGTGGCTTAGCAACCTAACCCGAATTATCTTTTCGAGTAGCTTAACGACTATGCTAGTTAAACTGACAGGCCGGTAGTTAGATGCTATCTGTCGCTGACCGTCCTTAAATATAGGACTAACTATAGCGTCCTTCCAATCTCTAGGGAGTTGAGCGAGTGAAAGGGACATGTTGAAGAGTGTCGCAAGCGGTTTTGAAATAATGTCCGCAAGAGATGACAGCAACCGTGGATGTAACCCGTCAGGGCCCGGTATCTTACCAGGTTTGAGGTCAGTTATCAACGGAAGGACAGTTTCCTCAGTCACCTGTACAGATTCGATGGTTGGTATCTCGATGTGAGTGGGACAAGTATTTGTTACAATAAACTTAGAGAAGACTTTGCTAAAGTAGTCTGAAAAAGTCTCAGCTTTTGCTCGATCTGATTCAGCTAGTAATTCTGAATTGTCGTGTAACAGTAACGGGGGAATACTATCACTACTTTTCATTTGCCGTTTAACATACGAAAACAATCGTTTCGGACAAGTACGGCTATCATATACTAACTGTCGTTCGTAAGTGGTACGAGATTTGGCTATGGTTTTCTTACAGATATTACGGTATTTTTGGTACTCACGCTTAAATGGTGCATGACCTGTCAACAAGAATAAGTCCCAGAAATGTTTTCTACGCTTAAACAGCTTCCGGGTTTCCTTATTAATCCATGGAGGGCAATGTGATAGCTTACGTGCTGACCATGGGATAAACGGCGACGTTACGGACTCGAATGTAGCCTTAAACTTAGTCCATTCATCTTCGATCAATCCATCCGCGTCGACCGACCAATCAGTCGAGATAGCACAGTTTCTGATTTCCGGAATATTAGCTCGCCAGATATTGGGACGGGGTGGAGCAGATACGAATTGTATACCATGTGTCCTAAACTTAAAGTGAATTACAACGTGATCACTGTTCACTAGTGGAGGAAGGTGCTGGATATCAAGGACATCCTCAGAGTGGTGGGTGAGGGCGAGGTCCAGCAGTGACGGAACATGTTACAAATCAATATGTGTCGGTTTTGTGATACATTGTACAAGTGCACACTGAATAACGGTAGATAAAAGGTCGCTATCGAAACCACTACCTGGAGCTGTAAGCTCTATCCAGTTGATATGCGGTGCGTTGAAGTCCCCAATGATGAGACAACATTCTGCCATACTCCAAGAACAGATATGTCTTAGGATAAAGTCGTCAGCAAGACAAGACGGACTACGGTATATTACCCCTATAGTCACTAACCCATTTCTAGATTTAATCTTACAACATGCAACCTCATATGTGCCACTGATATGAGCCTCCGATATGGTTAATTGTATACGAAAGTGATCCCTAACGTATAATATTACACCTCCCCCTTTGCGACTAGAAACTCTATCACTTCTGATACAGATATAACCAGCAATGAAAGGAGGACAGTCTATATCAACGGTGAACCAAGTTTCTGTAACAACGATTATATCGGGACATAATTCTTGCACCATCAGACTTAGCTCGGACGTTTTATTTCTAAGACTACGAGCGTTCGTGTAGCACACACTTAAGGTGTTTTGGCAATCAATCGTTCTACCCATACAGGCCTCGGAAGCATTGGCTTCCAAGACCTGACTACCCGAAAACCCTTAATGGTAAGGTTATTTTCGCCATTTAATTTGCGAGTCCTCAACTCCGTAAGAGCATTCTTCCACTTGATTCGATCCTCAAGTGGCCAATCTGGTCGAATACGGATATTTGAGGCACGAGTTTTTAGTGCGCTTTTCAATAATATGTCTCTTTCATCAAAACTCTCGAGAACCAGCTTCAGGATTCTTCTTGGTTGGGTCTCGCCTCCAACCCATTTACAAAGTCGTATTACTTTTGTAATATGTACTCCTGAAACCTCTTCAGGTAGTACATTCCTTACCACAGACTCCACTAACTGCAGGTCATGTGCATGTCTTCTAGCAGGGTCGTTGTCTTTCGACTCCTCTAGATTCCAAATAATTAAACTAGGAAGGGGTTTGGCTTCTTTTGAAACTGTGTTCACAGCTTTCGACCGTGACGTTAGATCCTGTATTTTAACAACTGGTATCTTACGATTAGTTTTTATTTTAACAGAGTCCTGGGAGTCAAGCGAATGACTCACAACAATGTCAGACGAAACTTTACTATGGGACTTTGGCGGATTGGCCTGAGAGTCCACCAAGGACTTACCAAGTAAACAGTCATTAGTTTTAGCTATCTTTCCTACTCTTCTGCGTTTTCGCGTCATCCATTTTCCATCAGTCGAAACGTCTATATTAGAACGACTCGGGTCAGTAATTGTTTTATCTGGGTCACCGGTTGCTGCTGTAGCAATATGGCCACCAACGTCTAATGACGTGTCACTCACTGAACGTTTCGGGGGAGAACGTTTAACTGCGGGTTGCACAGGTAGATGTCTGGCTTGCGCCGTGATAGCACTTACGACACTAACGCAATCTTCGCCATCAGTACCAATGTTATCAGTACAGCCTTCATCAACCTTCTTATTAGCCAACACCAGGAGACTAATTGCTTCCTGGATAAGCAATGTTTTGCTTGAGCAACAAAAACTACAAAGCCAATGAGAGTTGGGATTTGAAAACCTTTTATATGCAGTGGGGCTTAGTCGGGTGCACATCTTATGGAACCACTTATTACACTCATCACATTGCATCCCTTCATCCACGGGAAATAAGCAGTATGGTTGTCCACATTTATGAGTAGACTTAGCCATCGTGAAAATCAACTCGAACGGTGATAAAAAACAGGATATGTAAAGGGATTTTCAAACCTTAACTAAATAAACCAAGTAAAAGTCGATCAAGTATGCTTCAATGCAATAAATACACAGAAGCAAAATCGAAAAACTCAATACAATATCACTTTAACTGGGGTAGATGCAATTAAAGTGTAAACAGTAGTTTTGATGCGTAGTTTACGATCAAAACAATTAATTAACTCAACGAGAAGGAATACCAATGGATTACTTTGCACTAGCTTGTTGTAGTTTCGGTACCGTTCCAATTATTTGGTTATGTCAAATGAGTGATAGCCTGGCAACTAGACAGTAGTAGTTATTTGTGGGTCTGCATATCTTGTAGATTGAGTGCTATTATCACAGGACAGTATCACAATACCAGACAGGAGATTGCTTGGTCGCTATGGAAAAATAATAACATGATAACTCAATTGCTAAGAGTAGACGACTGGTTCGAGAATAAATAATCAATTTACTTGGTCGATGATGTGTGAGAAGACGGAATTAAAATAATAGGAGGGAGACGGAGATTATAGCAAGAGAGATAGGAATTAGTCACTGATATATGGTTGTAGCGGTAAATAAATCCCCAAAATAAATAGATCTGTAAGTTTTCGACATTGCATGCTGACCATATGTTTTAGTGGACTCATCTAGCTGAAGGCGCTCGGTCATGCCTCCGCACCAGATCACGTGTGGTAACGCTGTGCTCAGCATCTACCGCAGTCGCTAGCCAGATTAGATCAGAGAATTCCGATATATTGGTAATCGCCAAATACACTCTTCCGATCCCCTCGACTCTGTCTTTTGATTTCTCTCGGTGGGAACAAATTAAATTAGGTGTTACTGGTAGAAGCGTTGTCAAACACTGAATGCCTACCTGTAT